GTCCCCCTCCCTTTTTATTGTTTGTTGTCTTTTATCTTGTATTTTATATCTTTGTTTTTATATTTTCTGTACAGTGACCTTGGGTGTCCCGAAAGGCGCTTTCAAATAAAATGTATTATTATTATTATTAATACACATTTTACAATCAAACTGTGCTGGAAACTGAGAACTTCACAACCTAAAGTATTAAACAGCAAAATAAGTTTGGCATATTGCCTTTGACTAATATCATATTGATATGATGAACTTATACTGTGAGTCTCACACTGTGACTGTTGCACAAGAACACATCGCCATGGTGACGCTCTAATGATATTGTGCAGCCCTACATTTAATTGAATTCTATGGTTCATCAAGATTTATGACTCTGGACCATTTCTGCGCTGCACAGGAGTGACCCCCGTCAAGCTGCTGGAAGTAACTAAGTAACTTCTACTTTAAGTACATTTAAACAAACTGCTTTTTACTTTTACTTGAGTAGATTTTTAGAAGGGTAGCTTTACTTGTACTTAAGTAGAATTTCAATTTCATGTCTTTTTTTTTAAAGATATATTTTGGGGCATTTTAGCTTTTAACTGACAGGACAGTCAAGTGTGAAGGAGAGAGAGAGAGAGAGAGAGAGAGAGAGAGAGAGAGAGAGAGAGATGCAGCAGGGGGCCACAGGCCGGAGTTGAGCCCGGGCTGCTGTGGCAACAGCCTTGTACATGGGGCGCCTGCTCTATCCACTAAGCCACCGAAGCCCCATTGTTTTGCTTTATTTTATTGTTTTAGTGTTTTTATTGTTTTTAATTGTTTGTTTTATGTCTTATGTTTTTATGTTTATGTACAGCACTTTGTCTCAGCTGTTGTTGTTTTTAAAGTGCTCTATAAATAAAGTTGAGTTCAGTTTTCAGCACTGATCCAAAATTGATGTTGTTTTTTTTTTGTTTTTGTTTTTTTGGCTGGAAATGTGAGAGATAATATTCATTTATGATGACAGTAGTTTCTGAACCAAAATAACCTCTCACACACATTCAAACCTAAAATTACCTCAGCAGGTTAAAAGAACCGTTGAGTAGATTTGAGTCGAAACTTTGAGTCAGAAATTTGATTTAATCCTGAACACGTCAAGAAAAACTGTACACATTTGTGAGAAAAGTCACTCCGTCCGTCTCTCAGACATTTTATCAATATTCTTTCTGACATTTAAATATGACATTTTAATCAACATATTTTTAGACATTTTATTGATAGTTTTTGGGCATTTTACCAACTTTTTCCTGACTTTTTATTAAAACATTTTGGGCGTTTTATCAGCATTTCTTTTTCTGACATTTTATTGCCTTTATTTTAGACATTTATATAATATTTTCCAGACATTTTATCAACATAATTTCAGACCTTTTTTTTTCATAATTTTCGGAGATTTATCAACATTTTTTCTGACATTTTATTACCATTTTCTGAGGCATTTTATTGATGTTTTTCGGATATTTTAATATCTTTTTTCCTGACTTTTTATTAAACATTTTCTGACATTTTATTACCATTTTTTTAAGACATTTAAATAATATTTTTCGGACATTTTATCAACATATTTCGAGACATCTTATTGTGATTTTATGGATATTAACTTTTTTCCTGACTTGTTATTAAACATTTTTCCAGACATTTTACTAATATTTTTATGACATTCTAACAACATTTTTCGGCCATTTTATTTGTATTTTGGGGACATTTAAGTAACATTTTTAATAAACTTTTTAATAATAATTTTTGATTTTTTTTCAGGCATTTTCATAATATTATTAATGATAATAATGTTATTAATGTGCCCCTCTATGTTGGTCATCACAGTTGGAGATGTAACTGTGCAGCACCCTGGTGCGTGAAGTGCGTGAAGTGTGTGAAGTGTTGCATTGCACGTTGTAACCTGTTTCAACAAAATGAATCAAGAATAGAGATGAATGAAAATCAGTGTGTTTAATTAGATAATTCTTCAGAAAATGTGCCGTACCAAGAGTAATTGTCTTCATGTAAGTCAAGTGGGAAAGTTTTATTGTGATATTTATCTGTTAAAATGTGTATCCTTTTCACCTGTAGTGTCTCCAATTAAAACAATTAAACCATTTGTTTTTGCTTGTTCTGAAATTTTACCTCTCTCATAAAAAACAACTATTCACCTTATTTATTTATTTTTATTTTATGTTATTTTGTTTGTTTTAATGTATTTTATTTTAAATTATTTATTGTATTTTTGTATTTTATTTAATTTTATTTTATGTTGTTTTATTTGTTTTAATGTATTTTATTTTAAATTATTTATTGTATTTTCGTATTTTAATTTTATTTTATGTTATTTGTTTTGTTTTATTTACTCATGGATTTAATTTAATTTAATTTAGTTTTACTTTAATCACGTTATTTTATTTTATTGATGTATTTTATCTTAATCATGTATTTGATTTCATTTAATTTTAATTATTTTCTTTTCTTCTCCGATGGTTTAACGAGGCGTCTGTACCCTCCTATCCAGCAGGGGGCGAGATGCTGATGCCACGACAGTTTGCGAGCTGCAAATAAACACCCAGAAGAAGAAATCTGAGCTGTAACCGTAGAAGAAGAAGCAACCCTGATGCTGCCCCTGTCACAGTGCGCAAATGCGCATCCAACAGCAGCACGGACCTCCGGTGGACAGCGACAAAACAAACACCAGCAGGCTGGGCAACGACACGTTAGGGCGGAAGAGAAAACAGCGCTTCAGGGGAAAGACACATCCGAAGGGGAACGTCTGTGACACGGCAGGTAAGCCGGACTCACCTGGCGTGGAGCCGTCAGCGGAGCCGCTCTCCTGGCTGACCTGAGCGGATATCTGGGCAGGCCCACCTCGGCTCCTCAGCGTGACATCCATCGGTACTGTAGACAGTGTCAGCGCCGAAATGTCCCGTCAGAGATCAGACACCAAACTGCGTTTCGAAACACGCCCATTAAGCACAATTACTCACATTAACCGCAATATGTCACCCAGAACATTTCATCTGACATGTTTAACGTGTACACTGGACACACTCTTCAATTCGGCCAACATATAACCGATCAAACAGCAGGTACTGCGGCAGACAGGCAACTTTAAAAGCTGTTTTGCTCGTTTTTTTTTTTTTTCAACATTATTGCCCCGTTGAATAGCATCAGAATGAAGAACGTGACAGTTACTCCAAAGTACACAAGTTGTCTTTTATTCATATTAATACAGTTTGTTAAGAAGTGTGTGCATGCCGAATTTACCAGAAGGAGCTATGGAGTCGTGTAATGTTGTTTAATAACGTTTAAAGTTTAATTTATCTCGGCTCATAATCGATGGAAGCTTAAATTTGGAGATTTCGACAGGGACTTTGGTTTGACAGAATGTGACAGTTACTCCAAAGTGTACAAGTTGTCTTTTATTCAGATAAATACAGTTTGTTAGGTAATGTGTACGCGCCGAATTTACCAGAAGGTTCTGTGGTATCATGTTATGCTGTTTAATAATGTCCAAACTTCAAATGATCTTTCTTTATAATCGATGAAATCTTAAATCTGGTAATTTCCAAAGGGCCTTTGGTGTGACGTCCTACCGTACTGTAACGTTACAGTACAGCGTGCATATGGCTAACTATCAGTAACGGTCGGTCCTGTGAGCCGGTTAGCTCGCTAGCTAACGAGATAAAGAAACTACAGGGGTGATCAAGTGAACACAAGTGATCTGATAACGTTGATTTAAACCACACAGCAGCGCTAACGTTAGCAGCTGTGGTTAGCTAACGTTACAACATCATGGGGCTGGGCTAATTACTGACACGAGACAACTCCACAGCCGTTAGCAAACCGGCAACAGCAACAAAAGCGACGCAATGTCAGAAACCGGTGACGTAGAGTCTGATCTATAAAGTTGTTTTGATGTCAGCACGGTAGAGTGAGCGGTGGCGGCTAAGTAGCGGTGGTTAGTGAGTGTCTTCAGGTATTAGACTGAGCCCAGGTGAAGCTAACTGTCAGCAGCAGCTCGTGTTTCAGAGAAAACAAAACACCGATACCGGGACGTGCCGAGGAACAGGAAGTGAAAATAAAAGTTTAAAGTCACACTGAGAGGCAGCAGGGATAAACACTGCGGCTCAGAATCAATCAATAACTGATGATCAATCATTTCATCTGTCCTTAATTATCCAGAGAAACAGCACAGTATTGATCAGTGATGGAATGTAATAGATTACATCCTCTATTACTGTACTTGAGTATCTCAGCGTTACGCTACTAGAGATGTGAATCACAATACGATATCATCACGACACTGAAGTCACGAGACATTATTACAGTGACATTAGATAAGTTACAGTATGCTGAGTATTGTAATGACGACCTGATCAAGTCTTCAGTCTGATTACATTGTTACAGCAGGCACCATATCAGCCTGGTTACAGAGCGACGCAGCGTCGTGCGGTGTCGGCTCAGATTGTTAACGACACGTGTCGTATACGATAATCCATCGTCTCATCTGGTGTAGTGTGTCATAGTAGACGACAACTGACGCCACGTCTGAGACGCCTCATGATGTCCCAACAGAAAGTCTCGCATGTTTGATTTTCTTCTCCTGTCACAGCCGTCACTTTGACCAATAGGAACACAGACCGATCTGTTGCCATGGAAACTGTAGGACAACAACAGCCCAGGCAGTATAAAAACAAAATCGGGGAGTGCAGCAAAATGCCGCCTACCTACTTTTGTTTATACAGAATGTGCCTTTTTCGGGGCAATGGGGGGCGTGAGCAAGTAACAAAACGTGTAGCTCAGCGTGTGACGTAAACAGTGACGTGGGAGGGAAGCCGCGGCTGGTCAGTCCTTCGGCGATTCTCTCGTAAGTCGGCCCGTTCTTCACCGTCCCCGTCATCTGACGGTTAATGGCCTCTTCGTTTGCGAGGACAAGGAGGGCGCACAATTCCTTGTCTCCCCAGTTGCTCATCTTTACAGTGTCTGTCAGGTTTGTGTTTCCCTCTTGCTACTAGCTGCTCGCTAATTCCTGCTATCAGCTGTTTCCTGTTTATCCACCACCAGTGGCTCGCACGTGCGGCGTCATCAACAGCTCCTCCCACAAGTCATCAACAGCTCCTCCCACAAGTCATCAACAGCCCCTCCTGTTGCAGTGGACCAAAAGGGTTCCTCCAATATGTCTACCCTACGAGGTGGAAAATTGGGCACCTCGGATCAACTCGCCAATCTGGCTCTGTGTCTAAACGCTCGCAGCTTGGCGGCAAAACGGCCCAACATTCGCCGACAATCTGGCAGTGTAAAAGGAGCTAATGTTTCCATGCATGAATGTAGCTCCGCCCATCTGGTGACAGTGTTACGTTACCACAGTAACAGGTCAGCTGGGACATGAACAGACACAGTGACTGAGATAATAATAATAATAATAATAATAATAATAATAATAATAATAATAGCAATAGGACAAGAATAACCTGATGACATCACACATGTCGTGAAAGGCGACCAGTGATGACTGTTGTGGACCGTGGTGCAGTGTGTCATGTCTGTCGCATATGAGTCCACGATGGCGTAATCTGACATAGGGACTGTTAGAAGGGACAGTGATGTCATGTGGTGTGAACCAGGCATTAAGTTAAATTTGTGTTGTTAATAATTTATGTAATAAAGAAATGGATACTTGACACCGTGTGACGATGTGATGTTACCACACAAAAATATTGCCGACACTGTGCTGAATTAGAAGAACTGAAGAAATGTGTACTTGTACTGTACTTGAGTATCTCAGTGTTATGTTACTCCTCCTCTGCACCTCAGAGATAAATACTTGTACTGCACTACATGTATCTGACAGCTTCAGTTACTTTACAGAATTAGATTATTGATATAAAATATAACCCAGATTTATTAAAAGTAAAGAGTGTGATGATTTGTAAATCTTCAGCGGACTGCAGCACAGAGACAAGATCCCATGTTCTCATAGTGGACGGGGCTTATGTAAGAAGTGGGTGGAGTTTAAATTGAAAGAGCTACCAATGAGAGAAGTAGTATTTACACATCAGCCTCAGCACTGAGCTTCAGATAGTTTTTATCACAGGAGTAGAAGATGAAACATGTTCCTTCATCATGAGTTCAGATAAAGACACATTGACTCGTATGATGCTCGTAACAAGTCTCTTATCTGCACCTGAGACTCGTTTCATTACAGTACTCGGCTCAGCCCTCAGACGGGGGTTACAGAGGTAGTAAAGTAAACCCTGGTATGAAAAGTGACGGTTATAACGCCGTGTACATTTGCTTATCTACAGCATTTAAACAAATGTGACCTGACGCAGAGTCTCACCTGAGCAGCTCCGTTCCTCCTGGACAGGTACACATTGTTTCAAGTTCTGTTCTCAGTCCTTTAAGGCTCATTGGTACTAAAGCAGGATTCAAACTTGTGCATCAGCTTTATGTAGACCCTACACTGTGAACACTCAGACCTGCCTGTGTCACTCTGCAGTTACACCTCCAAAACACTAGGGGGCGGCAGAGGTTTCTGTGAAGTGCCGTAAAGTTTAACGCACATTGAACTCACACTAAACGCACACTAAACGCACACTAAACTCACATTAAACGCACACTAAAATCACATTAAACGCACACTAAACGCGCATTAAACGTACACTAAACGCACATTAAACGCACACTAAACACGCATTAAACGCACACTAAACGCACACTAAACACGCACTAAACGCACACTAAACGCACACTAAAGTCACATTAAACGCACACTAAACGCACACTAAACTCACATTAAACGCACACTAAACGCGCATTAAACGTACACTAAACGCACATTAAACGCACACTAAACACGCATTAAACGCACACTAAACGCACACTAAACACGCACTAAACGCACACTAAACGCACACTAAAGTCACATTAAACGCACACTAAACGCGCATTAAACGCACACTAAACTCACATTAAACGCACACTAAACGCGCATTAAACGCACACTAAACGCACATTAAACGCACACTAAACACGCATTAAACGCACACTAAACGCACACTAAACACGCACTAAACGCACACTAAACGCACACTAAAGTCACATTAAACGCACACTAAACGCACACTAAACGCACATTAAACGCACATTAAACGCACATTAAACACACACTAAGAGTGCGCAACATCATGTCATTTAGCCTGTTTCTTAAATTCTACTCATCAGCCTAGTATGCTTGCAAAGCAACATGGGAGTTCTGGAGTTCACGGGGAATTCAGTGCGGGAGCTGTGGCGAAAATCAGTTCTGAAACCAAAGTTTTTTGGGCTCCGGTTTCCAAAACAAAATAGTCCACACGAGTGGTGTGATAAAAAAATATGATACACATGCCAAAGCAGCAGGTGGCGATGTCACAACGGAAAGGCCATTTTAACCAATCAGAAGTCAGAGTCAATACCAGAATAGGGAAGTGCAGAAAATAAAAACAACCCGATCCACAAAAGTAACGCGACCAAATTCAGCAGCAGAGGCGCCTGAACGATCAACTACACTACCACGAGAGCAGCGACGGGCCTGCCAACGGAGTTTCTGGATCCGGCCGGGTAGGACCGCCGTTGGCAGGCCCGTCGCTGCTCTCGTGGTAGTGTAGTTGGGGTAGCTAGCTACTGAAGACCAGCAAAAGTATATAGTTATATAGTTGTGCTTTGTGATATTGTTTGAGGGAACTGTAACACAAGGTAACTGCATACGAGTGGATGCAACCGTCACTAATGCTAGCGTAGGTCCTCGGGGATTTAAGCTGTCATTACTTTAATTTTGACACTCTAACCTGTGACAACACATTATCTAAGGCTGTAAGGACTGTAACGGTTGGTAGCTGCTGTTGATTTTGTTTAGATATGTTGAATTATATTTTTATGGGTTATTGTTTGTCGGACGATTGAGCTAAGCTAACTGACGCTAACGTCAGCTGTCACTTGTTGCCATAGCAACGGTAAACATTCACATACGGGCTAAGTGCAGAGTGCAGAATCAAGCTTCATTGTAAATATAGTTAAGACACATTGTATTTAACACAGGATGTGGGATTCTAGCAGTTAGTAAACTTTTAGAAAAGAGGTATTTACTGTCGCTCTGAAGTCAAACAAGCGCGACAGTTAATAAAATACTGTGGTTATCCTATCTACACGCAACCACTGGCACCGGAGTCTTCCAAAAACTTCACCCTGGACTCCGGTTTCAAAGAAATGCGGTTTCAGGGCCCCAAAAGTGCGGTTGCGTGTGGCCAAAAGGCCAAATCGCATAGAATAATAGACGGTTACAGAAGTACACGGGTCGGTGTGGACTAGGCCTAATAATAGCAAGAATGTTTTGTTTGAACTGGTGCACGTAGATTTCTTTTGTTTAACCAGGGCAGAACTATTTGACGGTGTAATGGTCAGTACCGTCGATGCCCCGGGATGTAGCAGTGATGCCGACTGTCAAGCGTTTCCAGTGGGAGAGAGGGAATCGTGGGTGTAGCCCGCTCTGTATGTATGGAGCCACATCAAACCCACCAATAGAAACTCTTCTCTCATCCATCAGCGTAGGCCCCGCCCATTAAGTGCAGTTGAACTTGCAAGCAAAACTTTAACTCGCAAGCCCAAGAGGACTGGTTTATAAGCAAACTTATCATATGTTTTTAATTACAAACTTGATTTTTGGTTGCAGTTCAAGAAATATGCTCTCAAAACAGTTTTATATGATCGCAACAAAAAGACACAAAAATACCTCCATAAACGAGCAGATGAAGATGCTTGAGTTTGTGTCAGGTTTGAATTTCGACTTCAGTTGGGAAAAATGTCCAAAAAACGCAGAATAATTCGTAAAGGGTGAACTTTATTAATCTGAAAAATAAAAGCACACGTCCTGACGAAGCTGAATGTTCTTTTTTTTTTTTTTTTTTTTTTTTTTGTTAAAGATATTTTTTGGGCATTTTTAGCCTTTATTTGATAGGACAGACAAGCATGAAAGGGGGAGAGAGAGGGAGTGACATGCAGCAAAGGGCCACAGGCTGGAGTTGAACCCGGGCCGCTGCGTCAACAGCCATGTACATGGGGCGCCTGCTCTACCACTAAGCCACCGACGCCCCAAAGCTGAATAATCTGATGTTTGACTGTGATGATGTCACTGATGATGCCGCTGATACTGTCGTCCTTCTTTTCTGACACTGCATGTTTTAATAACTGTGGTTTAATCTTGTCTAAAATGTGATGACTTCCTGTTTCCTGTTCTGACCTCTAACAATGTGTCCTGATCACATGACCTGTCCTCAGAGACCATGGTGGGCGAACGCCGCAATGGGAACCTGCTGGTCCAGCTGGGCCCGAGACTGCAGGCGTATCCAGAGGAGCTGATCCGCCAGCGCCGCAACCACGAGGGCCAGACGGAGTACCTGATCCGCTGGTGCCTCGTCACCATCGACGACGGCTCTAGCTCTGGAGGCGGAGCCAGTGAGGCGGGCGGAACGGGTGGCGGCAGCTCCGGGGTGGACGGCTCCGGTGGCTCCACGTCAGGAGAGAGCAAACCGGAGAACATCCTGATGTGGATGTCAACGGAGGACGTGTACGCCAACTGCCCCACCCTGCTGGGGAAGAGGAAGACGGACTCACAGCGGCCCCTGCAGCAGGAGGCGCAGCAGGGCGAGTCATCAGATGGTGGTCAGAGGAGCGGCGCTGAGTTTCCGGCAGACGTCACATTTGACGAGGTGGAGCTGTCAGACATGAAGGAGGATGTGAAGAACCTGGTACGGCGAGCCAGGAAGCAGATGGCCAAGAAGAGCGACTTCTCCATCAGCATCACGCACACCATCCATGTGCTGAGCGCCTACGCCAGCATCGGCTCACTGGTCGGCGTCTTCAAGGAGACGGGCGCCCTCAACCTGCTGATGGAGCTGCTGTGTAACAAGGAGACGCAGACGAGACGCAGCGCCGGGAAGATGCTGCGAGCGCTCGCCTCACATGATGCAGGTAAGCACTAACTTAGTTTATAACACCACCTGGTGGAATGCTGTGCCCTGATTGGCTGGCAGCTGTCTGTTAAAATCAGGGTTTATGACGCTGCAGGTTACCATAGCAACAGCACTGATGCTTCAGCCCTGGTGAAAGGAGCAGTTCAACGTTTTGGGGGAAACACTTTGTTGCTGATAGAAGTTTGGTTTGTGGTCAGATGAAACATGCTAAGTTAACAGTTTCCCTCTGTTTCCAGTCTTTATGCTAAGCTAAGCTAAGCTAACCAGCTGTAATCTCAGTCTTACTGTAAAGATGTGAAACTCACCAAACAGACATCAGAGAACTCCCAACTACAAAGGCAGACTGCTGCATCACCTCACGCCGCCGTGTCTTGGCCAAATGATTGCACCTGAATGCACCGCAAAGAGCCGACGGCCAATCAGCACGTACGATCTGTGCCTGCGTCAGAGGAAGTAACTCTCTGCACCTGCAGACAGCAGGAGAACATATTAAGTTTAATAACAGCTGCTGCTGCTCTTCTTCTTCTTCTTCTTCTTTAGCTGCTAACTGCTAACAGCTGCTGTTCTTTCTCTTTGAGTTAGCTGCTTGCCGCTAACTGCTAACAGCTAACAGTAACCTTTTTTTAACTCTCCTGTGGTCGGTCGTACACAGTGCGTCGTCAAAATGTCACACCTGTCTCATCCATGATCCCGACCTGTCAGCTGTCACAAACACAGACAAGATTTGGTGTCTCTACCTGCGTTACGGGTTTAAAGCTGAGACAACTTTGTCCCCTCATTCTGCGTTCGAATCTTTTTATACAGAATGGCAGATCACCTGGTTGGTCATGTGACCCTCATCATGTCTGATATCAGAGCAGCAGCGTGTTCACACTGCTGGACGTGAACCTGTGAGGATACGATATCCAGTACACATTGTACAATGTTTAGCCAACTGACAGTGGGGCTGGTAGTTGAGCCCATGGCTAAGTAACTTGCTAAGGCTAGCTAATGTTAGCAAGGCTAACCTGTTGATCAGTTAACTTTAAGCCAAGCAGACATCACAAACAATAGCTGTGTCCCAATTTAGGACCCGCCCTAAATTGGGACACAGCTGTTATCTGAAGAAACTGGTAACACTAAACAACTGTATGCGAGGCGAAAATGTTCGAAAAGAAACTTACATGGTTCCGTTTGTGGCAGCGTTACGCTTTCGTCCACCATCGCCTTCAGCATTGCAGTGGCTGAGTTTAGAGCTCCGGTCACTTGGCATGCCGGCCTGTCTCCAAGGATCGAGTCCAAGACATCGAAATGCAGATTTCTCCTTGACCGCCCGTTGCCACTTCGGCTGAGGTCCTTCTTTTGGTCCCAGTAATCTTTTTTTTTTTTTTTTTTTTTTTTTTAAGCTTTTTAAGTTTTTTGCTGATCTGGTCGACGGTCCTCTCGTATCCTGCAGCAGCCATCTCACGCTGTATTTGGATAAATACCAACTTGGTTCATGAAGCTCCCTCGAGTTTGTTTTGAACCTTTGCTGACGACCATAAGGCAAGGAGACAGCTTGTTTCCTCGATGGACTACTGTTGCTTTGATGCATCCATGGCTTCACTCCTCGCTGTTTTTTTTCAAAAATGGCGCTTCACGTGGCCTTGTTTATTGTTGTTGGTCTCAATAACCCCACCCCCTCCCCCGTGACATATGTGGTTTGTTCTTCGAGTCCAGCAAAGAACTGGTGCCACACTGGAACTGTTTTGTTTCTGGCCCAGAGCCAGTCGTGGGTGATGGAAAAATCCACCAGCTAAGCAACTTTATTTACAGGCCAAAATATAAGCTGCGTTTTTGTGTCACATAAATATTAGTTTCAGTACGTTTTATCGTGATAATTTAAAGCTCCCATCTGCTCAGCAGTGATGAACTGGACACGTCTCAGGCTTTTATGTCTCCATGCCAACAACAGCTGAGGCCAGACAGACGCATCCTGTTTTCAGGATGAACACGATATCTCAAGAATACCACCTTGGCGTGTTGGCTTGTTGTAGCAGGTGCTCAGTCCCTGCCGGGCCCTCTGTTTCCATCCTCACAGTGTGCCGGTGTCAGACGGTGGGTCGCTGCTGCTGCTGCTGCTGGCTGTATGTGCTTAAGCCCCGCCCACTCACACACATTCTCATTGACTGATGAATTGGCGCTGGTTATTTATATTATTGTGGCGTATTGATTATGAATCCAGTCCATCTGATGCTGGTTTTGTTTCATCACTGGAGCCGGTATCTCACTATCACTATCCTCATTCAGATTTTAAGAAGCTACAACTGAAGCCTTGTTTCCACCAAACACTTTGAGTTTGGAACCAGCAGTAAGCCTTCAGACATGGTACCTAGACCCTCGGTGTGTTCAGACAGTCCTCTTAAATGTGGGCGGGGTTGTTGTCACTCACTGCTCCGTCCAGCACTCGCTGTATTTCCTCATCAGCGGTGACACAGATGGAAGTCTGCACCTGGTTTATCGTCCACAGAACGAGGCTGCACGCCCACATTTTCACAACAAAATAGAACAGGCTGCAGTGAGAGTCTCTCTCCATGGGATATTTAAAAATAGCAGCTTTGTGCATTTAGTCCTTCTCAGGCAAGCTCAGGGGTTTAGTGTTGCTGTAGCCCACAGGAAGTGAGGATTAGAATATATGACCTTCACATAATCCGCTCCAAATTAATCTATATTTTTAAAGTCATTACTAAAAGTGTGTGTCATATAAAAACTAAAGTGATGGTCAAAGTTGTCACAGTGAAATTTAAGGTGTGCTGATGGATTCACGTCATCAACTCATGCATTGAGTAACATTACAAGTTAACGTTCCACCTTAAAAGTTGCCGGCAGTCGGCCCAGTGAATGAAGTTATTTTTTTCTCTTTCATTTTATAGTTGTAGTTTACTGATGTATGAACAGAGGTTACATAAAACCAGAGTGACCGTCCTCTACTGACCAATCAGACTGCAGGGTTGATCAGAGAATAGTTTTAGTTGTCAGGTTGGTGTGATGTGGTGTGACACGTCTGATGAGGACACACTGAGCCGGCTGCTGGTCAACATGATAAAGACTCAAACATGTTGCTATCTGATAAAAAGCTGTGAACAGAGTGACTCTGTAAAACCCTTAACGTCTGCCATCCCTCACTACTTCCTCTTCTTCTTCTCTGTCTCATTCTTCCTCTGTGTGTGTGTGTGTGTGTGTGTGTGTGAAGCCCAAACTCTTTTTACAGTTTCAATAATTCAGAAACAAACAGAGAGGTTTCTTCTTTTTTTTTTTTTTGGTCACATGTGGAGAAAAATCCTGGGAGGGGAGCAGCTGAAAGTTTTTCCCATGAGTCATCTGGGCTGCGGTCTCACACACACACACACACACACACACACACACACACACACACACACACACACACTCTGACTGAGTTTCCAGAGAACAAACCAGAGTTCATAAAAAGAATCTGTTGGACGTTCAGTCAGAGATCATTTGAATTTTAAACCAATGGGATGTCAGCGAGACAGAGGGGGCGGAGCCTGCTGCTCAGGTGTCGCCCTCAGATCTGATCTGAGAGCAGCTTGATATGTCACAGTTTATTCTGTGTGATGAGTGAAGCAGTGAAGTTATGTTTGTAAAACATGCTGAGTCATGGAGGAGACGGTCCTGCCTGTCACTAACACGTCCTGCACAGTCGCGCGTTAATGACATGAGTCACAGCCCAGCAGGGTTGATGATGACGATGATGATGATGATGATGATGGTGGTGGTTCACAGTGAGCCAGTGAACTTTATTTCTACTGCAGTTTAGAGACAAACAGAGCTGATCTCACAGCAAAAACAAAAGGAAGCAGAGAAACAGAAAAGTCTAAGAACAGTAAAATAACAGAGTAATGATTACCTGTCATTGTTGGTCCTGGAGCTGGGGACAGACACAAGCCTGGGGTTGGATAGTCTCAGGTCTCTCACAGTGTGATATGAGGGGAGGAGCTCAGTGATGTCAGACGGGGCGGGGCTGTTTAACACTTTGTAGACAAACATCAGAGGCCCGTTGCACAAAACACCTTAAGTTAAGATTTTCCTTAGAGTCCTTGTTAAGGCTTCCTCAAGACAAAATCAATTGCACAAAGACCCTTAAGTCTTCTCCTTAAGGTTTCATTAAAATATTGACTTAAGTATTTATGGTTTTAAAAAAGAAAAACCCTTAAAGTAGCTCTGACTCTATCTTAACTGCAACATGACCACAATTTGCCATGTTTGTGCCAAATTTGAAGACATTCCCTCATGGTGTTCTTGAGATATTGCATTCACACAAATGAGAAAGACAAGGCCACAGTGACTTTGACCTTTGACCTGTGGCCACTGAAATCTAATCGGGTCATCCGTGAGTCCAAGTGGACGTTTGTGCCAAATTTGAAGAAATTCCCCTGAGGTGTTCTTGAGATACTGTGTTTACAAGGATGGGACGTACAGATGGACAACCTGGACACGTCATTCCTCCGACTGCAGCTATCACTGTAGAGCCGACAGGAAGTTAACAGGTGACTCAGGTCAGAGGTGGATGTGACATCACTGTAGAGCCGACAGGAAGTTAACAGATATACGTCGGTTCAGGCTCACTGGCCATTGTTGTTAAAATGGCGGCACTCTGCCGTCTGTGTTTGGTCTGTCAGGCGAACATCAGGTCAGTGGAGGTCGTTCAGCCGCAGGTATAAAGCCCACTGATTCTGACGGACCAAACAGGAAGTCAGTGACATTCAGACAGAGGCCAGGACTGTCTCCTCTACAGCAGGAAATGATGTCATCATCATCATCATCATCATCAAGGCAGCTTTGTTTTCCTGTTGGAGCGGAGGAATGTGGTCATTCAGCTGAATCACACTCTGAACTTTATCACACAGGAAGTTCAGTCTGTCACTACACCCTGCAGTCACTACTGAGGGAAAAGTGAAACCACCAGGCTCAGCTAGACGGACAGACGGACAGACAGACAGAGGGACAGACAGACAGACAGAGGGACAGACAGGGACAGAGTGAGACTGCAGTTTGTTCACCAGCTTTGAGTCTTCTTCTGAGCAGGATGTGTGTGTTAGATCAGAAGAAATAAACGTTTCAGGTGTTTGAATGTGACGCGTGGAGACAGAGAACAACCTGCAGGTGGCCACCTGTTGTCATGGTTACAACAGATGATGACACGTCACACACACACATACTGCTGAGGACCCACAGACCCACGGTGATGATAACATCCTGTCTGTCAGCTGACCAGTGTTCAGTCGGTGGTCTCAGATTTATGATGCGTGGTGAACAGATGAACCGACGTTTCACACCTGAGAAAGAAAAGGCAAATGGGAGGCAGGTCTAAAGTGGGACAGCACAGAGGGGTCCAGATGGGACTGTGTAGGAGGGGCCTAACCACAGCGTGTTTGAAGGCAGCTGGGACAGACCCTGAACTAAGACTGGAGTTAGTAGAGACGAGGACACTTGACCCAACACAATGAAAAACCTCCTTTAAGAATTTGGCAGAATGATATCTAAGGGACAGTTATTTATTTTGGATAAGTAGCAGGGCTGAACATTAACGTTTGTCCTCCTGTCCTCCTGTCCTCCTGTCTTCCTGTCCCCTGTGCAGGAAGTCGTGCGTATGTCCTGCTGTCCCTCAGTCAGCAGGACGGCATCGAGCAGCACATGGACTTTGATAACCGCTACACTCTGCTGGAGCTGTTTGCTGAGACCACGTCGTCAGAGGAGCACGGCATCTCCTTCGAGGGGATTCACCTGCCGCAGGTACACACACACACACACACACACACACACACACACACACACACACACACACACACTGTGTCAGCTGGTTTCTGTTTGTGTTATAATTTGTGATGTTTTCTTTCACAAAATGTTTGTCTACAGATATTTAAATATATATTCACATAAACAAGTTTAAATTAATGAAGTTTATTAATATTATCGTTGATCATTAATATTGAAATAATTAGTAACATTTTTATTGTTATAATTATTTACTATTGTTGTTGCTGCAGTTTTTATTATATATTAATGTTAATGTTGATTAAATGAATCAAATAATAATCAGTGATATTGATTAATAATATTTTTCACGTTATCGTATTTCATTATTTTCTATTTTTATTATTATTATTGTCTTTTTATTATTGTTATTATTATTATAATTATTGATTATTGAGTACTGATTGTTTATGTGTTGTTTATGTGCTGTTGTTGATTACTAATTATGTGTGTGTGTGTGTGTGTGTGTGTTTGTGGTGTGTGTGGTGTGTGTGGTGTGTGTGCTCAGATTCCTGGGAAGCTGCTTTTCTCTCTGGTGAAGCGCTACCTGTGTGTGACGTCACTGATGGACAAACTTAACACGGCGGGGGCGGAGTCTAACTCTGACAGACAGGATGCCAGCCCCTCCCCCGCCTCCTCCTCCAGCGCCGCCCACCAGGCAGAGCACCTCCGCGTCCAGCGAGAGTTCGACTTCACCATGGCCATGGCCAACCTCATCTCGGAGCTGGTCCGTGTGATGGGCTGGGACCGCAACCGCCAGCCTCCCGACGGCTCCGCCCACCATCCAGGTGGGGGCGGGGCTTGTGGGGAGGAGCTGGGGGAGGAGGCATCCCGCCCCGTCCTCAGATCCATCTTCCAGCCCCGTTTCTGCGCCTCCCCTGTCGTCCTCACCGCCACCTCTGCTGTAGCCGCTCCTGCCGCCGCCACGCCACCAAAAAAGAAGACTGGAAATGGATATAAAACACGCTCTGACTTCGCCAGCCGCTCGGCCTACGTGGAGTACGTCCAGGACAACCTGAAGAGCGGCATGATGGTCCGCATGCTGGAGGACTACGAGGAGGTGAGCTCCGGAGACGAGGGAGAGTTCCGCTACAGCAACGACGGCTCGCCACCTGTTCAGGTGAGGAAACATGGCGTCGATACAAAGACTCACACAGACACGTCAGCACAGTGAGCCGAGATCACTATAGCTTCTAATCATTATTACTGTGACATGTTGGTGAGTGACTCCTGTCAGCCTGCAGCGCCTCCTGCTGGTTAAAGCAGAGGAGTCAGGTGTTCAGAGAAACCTGATCTGATTGGATCAAATCTTAAAAACAGGTTGTTCAGGAGAAACAAAATGATCAGATCATGTAATCTGGTCCTGATTTTGATCCGGACCAAGTCTTCAGTTTGTCCAAAACATGTTGGGAGGATCAGGATCAGGATCGGGATCAGGATCAGGATCAGGCTGTGTCTCGTTAACAATAATACTAAAAAAAAGATTTTTAGTATCATATGAAAAATTCGTTAAGATCAAAACTTAACTCACTACAGCAGAGACCTGCTGCTGCTGATGATGATGATGATCAGTGACATCAGGAGGGAAACAATGGATATATGGACATCAGTTATTGGACTAATCAGTTGTTACATAGCAACATAAAATCCAACATGGCGTCCCCCTGATAACGTCCCTGGACCTGTTGAGTCTGGAGGACAGCATTGTGTGATGTGTCCTGTGTGTGTGTGTGTGTGTGTGTGTGTGTGTACTGCGTTCAGGTGTACTGGAACTCCCTGTCCAGGACGTACTGGGTCCACTGGCACATGGTGGAGATCCTGGGCAGCGGCAGCAGCAGTCAGGCTGAGAAGGAGACGCAGGAGAAGGCCTCCACCCTGACGGAGACTCTCAAACTCACCGCGGGTAAGATCCCATCACACCTGACGCCTCCACCTGTCCCTCAGCTCAGGTCAGGTGACCCTGTTTGTGTCTCTGCTCCCACAGTGAGTCAGACGTTCTTCTCCAAGCCGCCCGGAGGGCTGTACTCTCTGCCCTACCTGTCGGAGGGTCTGCAGAGGGAGCCGCTGGCCCTGAGCCGGGCCGAGTGGTGGGAGATCCTCTTCTTCATCAAGAAGCTGGAGCTCAAGCAGCAACAGGAAGTCAACAGCATCCTGCTGCAGAGCCTGGACGACCAGGTGAGACACACACACCCACCCAGGGGCATGATGGGTAAAAAACTATTCACTCACACCTGTCTGTCTGTCCCACAGGAGACGGAGTTGGACGACTTGTCTCTGATTGGTCTGTCTGTCCCCGGAGACGTGGCAAAGAAGCTGCTTCACTACCTGAAGCAGAAGCTGCCGTCGTCGTGTCTCAGTGACCTGCTGTGTTCACACACCTTCTGCAAACACTACCTGAGGAGAGGAGGAGGAAGTCTGGAGGACGAAGAGCTGCTGGGTGAGGACGCACAGGACATGTGTCTCTGTCAGGACGCACAAGACATGTGTCTGAGTTTCTAAATCTGTCTCCATGTCTGTGACTGTTTGTTTCCAGCTGAAGGCTCTCTGGGTTCGTCCAACTTGGCAGGAGGAGGGGGAGGAGGAGGAGGAGGGGGAGGAGGAGGAGGGGGACCAAACTCCTCCTCTTCATCGTCAGCCTTGGCCTCCTCTTCCTCTGCGTTGGGCTCTGTCTCTAAGAAGGCAAAGAAGGAACTTCCTCCTGACTCAGGCTGTGGCAGCCCGGAGACGGAGAACGAGCTGCCGTCAGAGGACGACAGCAAATACCCCGAAGACCTGGAGGACAAGATGAAAGGTGGGAGATGGGGACAGGTGTCCACAGGGACTCTGTGTCCCTTCAGGTGGACAGTAACATCAGAGTCAGAGTCCATTTGTCTGTCCTCCCTGCAGTGTTCAACAACCCGCGGGTCCAGGGGAAGAAGACGGTGCTGGAGAAGCTGGGGGAGGTGGTGGACATCCTGAAGAAGGGCGGGGCGTCCTCAGACCACGCCCAGCAGCTGGCCGCCGTCCTCTTCATCACCAGGCTGCTGGAGGAGAAGGGAGCACAGGAGAAGAACTCCATGAGGAGCGACTCGGCTCAGACCATACGGTGAGACGCCATCATCAGTGGACCGCTCCAGGAAATACACAGAGCCAGAGACAACATATAGGTGTGGTGTATCCCAGGATAGAGTGTGGAGTGTTCCAGGAGATACACAGAGCCAGAGTGTAGTTCAGGGGAGCTGGGAGAGCAGATGACGATGTGTGTCCCTGAATGTGTGAGGTTCACTGTGTGATGATGTGTCTTCTGTGTGTCCTCCATCAGGGACAAGGTGCTGAAGCTGCTGGTGGAGCTGCTGGGCTCGTCCTCCAAAGACCTGGTGGTCAGCACGCTCAGACTCACCCACCTCCTAATGCTCAAATACGAGTGGAGGGTTTCCTTTGCCACCGAGGGCGGAGTCAAAGCTGTCCTGTCCTGCATGCAAGAGTTCTCCGCCATCACTCACGTCCAGCAGCTGGCGCTCGCAGTAAGACACACCCCTCACATCCACTGTCCTCAGATGGATGCAGCTACATGCTGCAGCTTTGTTAAACAGCTGCAAATGATCTGAGGATCTGTGACATCACAGACTGTGACATCACAGACTCACCCTGTCATTAATCTGTAAAACCATGATGTCACAGTTTTAAGATGGCCGTCCTGTGTGAACTGTTGTTGTTGTTTGTGTCAGACTCTGAAGGTCATCACCGGAGCCAGTAAACACGACCTGCGCAGTGTCGGCAGCAGCCTCCCGCTGTCTGAGTCTGGCACTCAGATGATGTTGGAGATCTTCGCCAGCATTGGCTCGGCCACGCCCGAAGGCTCCAAGGGCCTGTTGGGAGCTATCCCCGCTGCCGTTGACCTCATGCTGCAGACTAAAGGGTAACTTCCTGTCGCTGGTTCAGGTGTTGACTTCCTCTGAAGGTTCCTGTTACTGACAGCGGTTTTCTGTGTGCAGCTGCATGCTGTCGGTGAGAAAAGGCCTGCTGGTCATCATCATGCTCATCTCCAACCACAAGAGCCTGGCGGAGCAGCTGGTGGCCGCCGATGTCACCGCCGTCCTCAAGAAGTGTCTGACTCTGTCCAGAGCTGAGACCATGCTCGCCATCATCGCCCTCAACCACATCTCCATGGTGCACAAGCTGGAGAGCAAAGGTACCCCCCCCCCCCGGATCACATGACTCCATGGTGATGAAGCTGTAAACTCACCAACATAGAGCTTAATGTTGACGTCAGTACAGTCCATCCTGTCTGTGGGACTGAAGCTTTGTCTGTCCTGTGTGTGTGTGGGTGTGTGTGTGTGTGTGTGTGTGTGTGTGTGTGTGTGTGTGTCATCAGAGAGTCGTGAGCAGCTGGACCTGAAGGACACGGAGCTGCAGATGTTGGTGGTGAGTCTGAAAGAGCTGACGGCCACTAAGGAGGTGATCCAGACTCTGGAGCAGCTGCTGTGTGACGACACCTCTCAGCTGGAGGACCAGCGCAGTCAGGTACAGAGTATACCTGTCACCTGTGACTCACCTGTGATTCATCAGAGCTCCAGTGTGTCACAGTCACAACCATATATAGACCTTTAACACTGTCACTTCAGCCATGCCAAATGACTCTGGATCTGTGTAGCTTGGAGTTAAACTTCTCTCCTGCATCCTGTTGTGACCTCACATATCTGAGTTAATGTCTGATCTTCACCATCAGCTGAAAACTCATCCTCATCCTGCTGCTTCACAATAAAAGTTTTTGCATATCAGAGTAACAGGAGACTTTTATTGTTAAGAGTCTACAGGAAGTGAAATGTGTTCATCACCGAATTAGTGGATTTATGGAGACACAAATACCTGCTGCACTGGGCTGACGGCCCAAACCATGCTGAGCCAAGTCATACCAAACCAAGTCGAACCAGACCAAACCAAACCAAACCAAGTCGAACCAGACCAAACCAAACTAAACCAAGTC